GACTGCTGTAACAAATTACCACAAACTTAAACAGCAGCTTAAAACACCAGCTATTTCTTCTCTCACAGGTCTGGAGACCGGAATTTCAAAATCAGTATCACCTGGTCAAAATCCAGGTGTTGGCAAGGCCACAATCCATCTAGAGGCTCTCAGATAGAATCTACTTTTTGCCTCTTTCAGCTTCTAGTGGTTGCTGTCATTCCTTGGCTTGTGGCCACATTACTCCAATCTCTACCTCCATCTTGACATTGCATTCCTCTACGTGTATGTGTCAACTCTCCTCTGCCTTCTTATAAGGACACATGTGATGGCATTTAGACTGCCACCCTGATAATCCAAGATAATCTTCCAATCTCAAGATCCTTAACTGTATCTGTAAAGACCCTTTTTCCAAATAAGGTAACACTTATAATTTCTAGGAATTAGGGCCCAATATCTCTTTGGAAGGGGCATGATTCTATCTATCATATCACCTAAGTAATTTTCATGCAAGAGGGAGATAAGATATGATTGACACTTTTTAAAAGATCTCTCTGAGTGAGTTTGCTCTAGGAGGCAAAGTAGAAGCAACAATTCAGTGAGGAGGTTGCTGTAGTACAGACAGGAGATGACTAAAGCTTGAGACGTTAAATTACACATTATATATCTGTTACAGTCATGATCAGCTAATGAGTAGTAAAGAGTGAGGACTCAGGAGTCAGACTTCCTGTTTAAACCTAATTATACCACTGGCAAGCTTTGTGACTTTGAGCAAATTGCTTAACTAAGATTTTTCTTCCACTGTCAAATGATCACTGAAGAACTGCTATGAGGATTCAGATTAAAATTTGTAGAACATTGACAGAATACAGTGTCTGAAACGTAGTAAGACCTCAATAAATATTTGCTACAGTTATTTTTATCTGTGCCTAGCATTGCTCAATTTCTATTAATTTTATGACCTATATTATGGTTGCCTAAATGTAAGTGTAAAAACAACTAAGTAAATAACTCAATAGGTAGAGAGTCTTTTTGCACTGAATTGTAAAGGAATCACCTTCATTATGTGGTGTAATTATATCACTATTATTCTGAATTTTATAAAAGACTATTGTATAATATTTTGGATATTTATCTTGACAATCAAATTCTTTCACTTCTAGATAACTGGAATTTCAAATCAAATATTGAAGTCTAACAAACATCTAATATTTCAATTTAATATACTGTGGAAAAAGAATTAATAAAGACCACAGGAGAAAAATTCTTTTTTAATAGATATCCTAGGATTAAATCATGTAACATGAATATATGGTAATGACTATATTTTAAAATGTCTCCACATTTAGGAAATTTAAATTGGAGGTCAAAATATTTCCTTTCTAAATTCCTAGCTAAATTTAACCTTGAGATGAGTGACCTAATTGCACTACCAATGGATACAATTTAGAAAACAAATTGGGGAAATACTATGGATTGGCTCAATTCTATTTTTCTTAGTTTCTATTTTTCTTCTTTTATTAGTTATTCTAGACATCAACCTCAATCTGACAGATTGGCTCAATTGTAATACTAACCCTGCTTCTGACATTTTAAATTCCTTTATCTGTAAAACAGTGAAAACAGCAACCTATTTTTAAAATCACTTTTCAATTAATCCATTATTATAAGAACAAAATCAAATGCAATAAAACAAAAATATCACTGATGAGAGTTTATAATACATAAGCCCAGGAAGATCTCCATTACTTTATCTGATGCTCTTAAAGGTAAAGACAAGGTAAAAAGTGAGCTCTGAAAGCTGCACACACTACTGTTATAAACATGGTAAAAATCTTGATATTGATTAACTTCTTGCATAAAATATTTATTGTTCATATCTTTAAACCATCTAAAAGTAAATCAATCATAAAAGACCAGTATTATCAAGTATACAAATTACTTTTCCTTATGAATTAAACAGACTATTAACCATAACTGAAAACCAGCAGAACCATATGTATGGTCAAGCCAGAAATCTGGAAGTTATCTCTCACTTCAGAAACCCAATCCATTATGAAGTTCTGCACATTCTATCTTAATCCATGTATCTCAGATATGTCCACTGCTCTCTACTGTCCTAATTAGTTAGCCTCATACTAGCTATGAGGACCAGTACTGAAGCTTCCTAAGTATCCCACTCCAATCTATTCTCCAAACAATAACCATAATGATCACTGTGAAATAGAAACACAATTAAGTCACTGCCTGCTTTAAAGCCTTCAGTGACTTTTCACTGTCCTAATAAAAACCAATGCGTGTATGCTCTGTCATCAATCATTTCTCGAACCTCTTCTCAATCACACCCCACCCTATCCACTGGGTCCCAAACATACCTGTCTCTCTCAGTCCCACCCAGCTCTTTCACCTTAGGGCTATTTACCTCTCTCCCTACTTGGTCCTGACTAAAATGGCTGCTTCTTTCCATCCCTTCCATTTTCTGCTCCTCAAAAAGGTATTCCTTGACATCCCAATGGACAGCAGATGCCCTCATTACTTTACTACTTCATTCCATCGACTACTGTTCTGTACACTCAGAGAGCTTATCACAAATGATAATTATACCTTTCTTGGGTGAGGAGGGATTTACTTGTGTAATGTCCATTTCTCCATCTGAACTGTAGCCTCCTTGAGGGCAAGTCCCCTATCTTTCGTTGGCTTCTATTTTCCCAGTGCTTAGAACAGTGCCTGTCTTACAGGAAGTACTCAGTAAATATTTATGAATGAATGAGAATGCCATTATTACTAAATGCTCAAGATCACTTTAAAAAAAAATTGAGAAATCATGCAAGCAAAGGTACATAGTTAACACCAGATTTTGTCAGCGTTTCATCACTGGAAAGTAAACACAGAAGTGAAGTGGAATTAACAAAGGTGCTAATATAGGAGTACCAATAAATCATAACAAAATCTAAATACAATGAATTTAAAATAACATGCACAAAAACACAGATTTTATCATTTGAAATAGGGGTGATGAAATGTTTAGCTGTCTACATTATATATTAAACCATCAATAGAAGTCATTATTATTGGAGTTACCCCCATAAAGACCTTCTCATTTGCCTTATTCTTCAGCATTTTTACATAAAGTCAGAAACCCACAATACTCTATTACACTTGTTCTCTCATTGTTTTCTGTGGTCATTAGGTCTTCCTAATATACAATCTAATCTGGACTCTTCTACCTTTTTGGTATCTCTTTTAAAGGGAGTACAGGTCAAGACAACGGTCCTAAATAAATGGTTGCATATTGATTAGCAAAATAAATGAATGAAATTATTCAGCTATAAATAAAGGTTTCCTTAGTACATATTCATTAGTATATACTTCCTTTGTATCTATTTATTCTGTTAATATACTCTGAATTATGGATTAATTTTCATTACTTTTAAAGCTTATTAAAACCATATCTTCCATAACTCTGGCAAATACCTTATAGTTTCAGAAGATACATTTGATTCTTTGTATAAATACGCTATATATTTATAATATGTATATTATATATATAATATTCTTTATACAGTCCCATGAAATTAAGGTTTTAGGGGAGCTGTTACTTAATTTCCTTTATTGTGAACTCAGCAAAAGGATTTTTGCAAAGTAATTTAGAAACCTCTAAAGTTCACTGCTCTCTTTCATCATGAAACTTTGGACATCTAATATGCTCTCTGTAGACCAGATTTCAACTGCTCAATGCAGAGTGTGCGCCATGCGGTATTTTTAGCTTTAAATCTCATTTGCTTACTTACATTAACTCTGTACCAAAGAGGACCTAAATATCTGTTCCTTTCTGCTATCGTTTAACTGGCTCTTCTGGCTGTCATACTGACAAGAGTAGGTCACTTAGTGTCACTGAAAATGAATGTGCATAAACCTGGTCTGTGTGGACCTAATTACTTTGAAATTATGTCATAATTCTGGGAAAAACAGATACAAAAAAGCTTGATTTACTTTCAAATCACATGCAATGCCAAAATAACTATCATCTTAATTCACCTTTGTAATCAGTAAAAACATTTATAATGCCTGCATAGAAATGTGGGCATCTCATGAAAATAACATGGTACATCCTGATCTAAAGTCACAGTAACTAGAAACATGCTACACATACCTAAAAATAAAACTCAAGAACTCACTAATAACTTCGGTATTTTAAACACATATAAATTAGTTAAAAATTATGAAAAGAGCTATATCCAAATTTAAAAAACAAGGTAAAATCTACCAAACTCTATTAGCAAACATAATTCTCATTAGTATGTAACCTCACTGACCCCATTAGCAGGTAAACTCTTAAAGGACACACACACACTTGTGTTTTGTTTATTTAAGTTCTTATAAAGAAAAGTACTCTGCACATAAGTACAAACAAATAAGTATTAAATATTTAATAGCTGAAATTATTTCATTTTATATTAATAAATATTAGTCACAAGAAATAATATTAATAGATCAAAATCAAACATTTTTGTTCATAGCAGAAAAACTAATTCTGAAGAAATTTATAAAGCAATAAATTACATATACATCTAAAATTGTGATGGCCATAATTCAACCTTTATTTGATGATTCTTCAGAAGTCATCATAGGGTCAATATCAGGAATATCAGCTCAATTATAATATCAGTGTTATACAAATACTATTAATATAGATTTAAGTCAACAGAATATTAAATACTTTTTTTAAGAATAGTTAAGAGGTGTTTTTGACCTATTGAAAACTACCTTTAGTAAAATGTCTTTACTGAGAAAATGACTGAAGAAATTTTACAACTTAAAATCTGGATTTCTCCATTTCCATCAGCTAATTTCCCTAAATATTTTCATTATAATTAGAAATGTCTATAAATAATGCTTTCTCCACTGAATTCTTAGGTGCAAAAGATCCGCCACTAAAGCTCCAAAATCTTTCTTCAACAATGACAACATGCTGCTGGGGAAAAAATGGGAAACTCCAATCTTATTTTATACCAACTTACTCTGACTTTTGGCAGGACTCTCCGCAGTGTCTCAGTGGGATTCTGTCGCATCAAAAATGGGAGATTTGCAATCACACTTGTTCCTTGGATATCTTGACCAGCACTTACAAAGAAAACACAAATTTAAAATTTATAATTACAAGCTAAATTCCTCTGCACAGTTATAAAAAGTGTGGACTAATTAGAAAAATGACTTCTTTGAATGATAGGCACTCAGACTTCTGATTAAGTTTTAAGCTAGAAATGCATCATTTAAATATAAAACTAAAACCAAAACTGAAATTTCATTAAGCAAATCTTCTAACAAATACATGAAGATATTAATTATGCTTGTGCTGAAACAAGATTGTCTATTGTTTTATATGTCTTAAGTCTAAAAGTTTTGAGACTATTAAATACATATATTTTTAATTCTATCTCATTTTCTCCTGTGACCTGTCAGTTTGCCATACTTTATAAAAATATATAAATGGTAACATTTTATTATGATAAAACATTAATAAGCATTGCAACAGGGACACCAATAAAATCAACTACAGCAAAATCATACAATTTTCTCTTAGTATAGTGAAATCACTCGTTACGCTAGATTTAACTCCATCCCAGAAACTTCTTAAAGATACACTCAGTACTCTTAATGATCAGCAGGGTATATTTACATAATTCCTTTTTAACATAACATTCACTAAAGAGTTATCAAAATAATCTTAACAATACTCCAGTAGCCTAAATACCTTTTAAAAAGTGTTCAGATCCTTCCAAAACAACCACTTCCCAAACAGCAAAAAACTTTTTTCAAATATAACCAAAGTGGCCTAAGTTCTGAAAGAACTGGAAACATACAGACACACACACATCTATATCATATCTGTCTCTCTCAAAAAGATGCTAATAAACATGGCATCACCTCAGAGGGAAATTCCACCTATTCTTAACTCATGCTAATTTAAATACTGATTGCTGATTCCATAAAATTTACTTATTGATTAGAATTATTTTTACTTATCTCTTCAAATGAATTTGTAGTTAAAGCATATATACATAAGACTTTAATATATGTTTTAAATAGCAGAACTTCAGAGTTTTATAAGTTCTATTAAAAAGAAACATATTCTGATTCTAAATGAAGCTGCCCTGCCATGAAGAAAGCCTTTTTCTATTGCAACATGGTAAGCTATGAAATACAGGACACCATAATCATTCCACTGTTGTCACCACTCTCTAGGAGAATCCTTTAAGAGACAAAATTAAGAAGGAATAGAAAAGGGGTATGAAATAGAGAACCCAGGCCAAATGGAGAGAGGATCAAAAAAAGGAAAATTAAAGATACACAGAAAAATACTACTTGTAGTGAATTGAATGGTGACCCCCTAAAAGATAATGTCTGTATCTTAATTCTAGAACCTATGATTGTTGTCTTAATTTTTAGAGGGCTCTTCAGATAAAGAGATTATCCTAGATAATCCTAGATAATCCAAACTGGCTAGGCCCTAAATCTAACTGCAAGTGTCCTTAAAAGAGAAACTCAGAGAATAAAACACAATAGAAGGTCATTTGACTACAGATGCAGAAATTAGAGCAATACAGCCACAAGTCAGCTAATGGTGACAACCACCAAAAGTTGGAGTATGCAAGAATGGATTCTCCTCTAGATCTCTGCTGACATTTTCACTTCAGATTTCTGTTGTCTAGAATTGTGAGAGAATAAATTTCTATTATTTTTAAGCCACATTGTTTGTGGAAATACAACAACCAGAGGAAAAAAATACACTACACTACTAAAGAACTGAAAGAAGAGAATAATCTGAAAGATAAAGAAAATGACAAAGCTTGGCTCAAGGTAGAGGTTCAATAAATATCTCTTGAAAGCATGAATGAATAGATAGCTAAGTAGATTAACAGATGTCAAGAATATTTAATATTGAACATTTGGTGAATTTTATTCACTAATTTGCAATTACAATAAAAAAGGATATGATCTCTAATACCTCACAGATGTGAAAACAACTTTTCACAGAAAGGCAAGAAAAAGAAAACAAACAAAAAAACAACAAATAAAAATGAAAAATGAAATTATACAATTAAAATATCAACAATTACATTAAATATAAGTGGTCCAAATACATCAATTTAAGACAGGAATTGGCAGAGTGGATTTTTAAAATGATTCAACTATATGATGTCTATAAGAAACTCACCTCAAATATAACAGTATCAGTGGTTGAAAATAAAGAATGGAAAATAACATAGAAATGTGAAATAAAATAAAGCAGGAGTGGCTATATGAATATCAAATAAAGTAAATCTGAGATAAAAGAAAATCATCAGAGACAGACCGAGACACTATAAAATGGTAAAAGAGATAATCCGCCAAGAAATAGCAATCCTAAATGCATATACACCAAACTGAGTTGCAAAATACATGAAGCAAAAACTGATGAGACAAAAAAAAAAAATACACAGTGCACAGCTGAAAATTTCAGAGTCCATCTCTCAACAACTAACAGAACTACACAGAAAATCAGTAAATATATAAAAGAACTCAAGCATACCATCAACCAAAATTTAGTAGATATTTCTAGAACATTCTATCCAACAACAAAAATATACATTCCATTCAAGTGCCCAAAGAATATATATCAAGACAGACCACATCTTGGACCACAAAACAAACCTCAACAAATTTTTGAAAATTTAAATAATACAGAGTTTTCTCTGCCCACAATAGAATTAAAAAACAAATATTAAATAACAGAAAAATCTCCCAACTCTTGGAAACTAAACAATAAACTTATATATATTCCCATGAATCAAGGAGAGAGTCTCACAAGAAATCAAAAAATACACTGAACTGAATGAAAAAATCAAAAATCAGCACTTAGGGATATAGCTAATATGTAGAGAGAGGGAAATGCAAACATTAGAAAGAAACAGAACATCTCAAATCAATAATCTAACTTCAAGAATCTAGAACAACGTAATCACACACAAGCAGAAGAAATAAAGAGATGAGATTAATGATAATAAAAATAGAAAAAATAAAGAAAAGGAAGGAAACAAAGACCTAGTTGTTTTAAAGGTAAATAATCAACTAACCTCAAGCAAGAATGACAAAAGAACAAGAGAAGACACAAATTACCAACATCAAGATTTAAACAGTAGGTATCTCTACAGACTGCAGAAATCAAAAGGATAATAACTGAATGCTGTGAATACTTCTATACATATAAATTTGATAACTTAGACAAAATGGACCAAGTCCTTGAAAAACACAAATAGTTACAATTTATCCAATATGAAAGAGATAATCTGAATGTTTCTACAACTATTAGGGAAATTGGATTAATATTTTCAAAGTCCTAAAAAAAATTCCAGGCCCAGATAGTTTCAATGAAGAATACTACCAATCATTTAATGAAAAATTAACACTATTGTACACAATCTCTTTCAGAAAAGAAAAGATAGGTAGCACTTCCTCAATCACTTTATAAGGAAAAACTGCAGAACAATATACCTCATATAGATTAAAAATATTTAACAAAATTTTAGCACATAAAATATAGTAACATATAAAAGTAAGAATTATATACCATGATCAAATGGAGTTTGTTGCAAGGAAACAAGGCTGGTTCAATATTAAAAATTAATGCACTCCATCATATTAACAGGCTAAAGAAGAAAAGTATCACATGATCATATCAATTCAGAAAAAATATTTGACAAAAGTCAACACATGAACACTGAAATGACAAATTCAATATAATTTATAATCATTCCCAAAAAAACTAACAAAATATGTATGAAAGTTGTAGGCTGAAAATACACAATGCTAAAAGAAATCAAAGGATATGGGAACAATCAGAGAGACACACATTGGGAAACTCAGCATGGTAAATATGGCAATTCTCCCCAAAGTAGTATACAGCTTTAACACAATCCCTATCAAAATCTCAACAAGATTTGGGGGATACATAAATTATATTTTTCTAAATTTATATGAAAAACCAAAGAAATGAGCATAGCTGAAACAATTTTTAAAAAGAAGAATGAAGTAGGAGGAATTGTGTCCACCCACTGTTAAGACTTACTACATAGCTATAGTAACCAAGACTGCAGAGTATCTGTGGAGAGAGACACATAGATCAACAGAACAGAAGAGAGAACCCAGAAATAGACCCCCACACATATGCCCAACTGATTTTTGGCAACAGTACAAAGACAATCCAGTAGATAAAAAATAGCCTTTCAACAAATGGTAGTGAAGCAACTAGATATCCACAGGTGTTTAAAATTAAAAAAATATATATATATGACGGCTGGGTGCAGTGGCTCACGCCTGTAATCCCAGCACTTTGGAAGGCTGAGGCAGGTGGGTCACAAGGTCAAGAGATCAAGACCATCCTGGCCAACACGGTGAAACCCCATCTCTACTAAAAATTACGAAAAAGTTAGCTGGGTTTGGTGGCATGTGCCTGTAATCCCAGCTACTTGTGAGTGTGGGAATTCACTTAGGGTAGTAGCAAAAATATTAAGGGAAGAATATTAGAGAAATTTATAGAATATAGTCTCAAAACCTTTTGGGAAGTCCTAAGGGTTTTTTCTACAGTTCTTGGCTAAAGGCAGCCTAAATCCCCTTTACATTTAGTTAATAAGTAAAGCAAATAGCTAGGGTATGTGGGGGAGTTTACCTAACTAGTTTACTCATGTGGTCTAAAAACTAACCTTTGAGCTGGATGGCCCTCTCAGGGGGAGGTCAACCAGGGAGATTATCCACTAATGGTGTTTTCTTTGGGCATAGGAACCTGTCCTTTAATCTCATCACTCTATCGGTGTTGACTCAAGCCTTTGTCAATTAAACTTTACTAAATAAATGCATGTCTCACTGGCTGGTGGTGGCCAGAGGTTGCAACTGTTTATAGCACTCTCCATGGAGTCTGTAAGCTGCCCAGACTCTCAAACTGGCGAAGCATAGTATCTGTGTGTCAGTGTACTTTACTCATCCGTTACTGAGTCAGGGTCTGCAGGACAGACCCCCGCAGATGGAAACCCCAACACGGGAGGCTGAGGCAGGAAAATCACTTGAACCCAGAAGGCAGAGGTTGC